TTTACTGTTTATTACTTCGCGCTAATGACTACAAGATAGCAATTGAAAAAATCGACAATTTTGACTTTTGTCGCTGATTTTTTTAGCTCCAATTTTAGAGTTTTTTAACCTTTTTTCTAACTTCTACAATTCTATTTCGATCAATCTGAAAACTTATATATTTTATTGCAAACAAAAACTAATTTTTGAAATTTCAATATCACTTCCGGATTTGACGCTATTCGCTTCTAAAATATAAAATTCAACTTCCGGAATTTATAAGATATTTCAAATATTCTTTTTGCAATATGTTACAAATGGTCATACAAAAAATTTCAAATCATAAAATCCGACCCGAATGTAACAGTGTAGCCGCCATATTGATATGTCAAACTTTTGTAAAATTCAAAATGGGGCCTCAGGGTATAAAGCGCTTTTCATAATTTTGATTTTTCTGGATATCACAATCGATTGCGAAAAGAAATTTGGAAGCCGATTTTTGAATTTCGATTTTGCTTTTCTTTTATTTCCGGTTAAAATTTTTCGGTAATGTCAAAAATTTCAAAGGGTCCTATTTCGTGACCTTGACCTTTGGTGACCTTGTGGCTTGAACAAAATTTGTTGCTCTTGATGATATCTATCCAGTGATATACTCATTGGTGCTTTGCACTGTTTACTTCCGGTTTTATAGCCGATTGAAAATTACGATTTTTATCTTCAAAGAGCTCTGACACGTGACCTAATTTACATACACCAACAATTCTTATTGAATCTTACTAGTGTTCATCTGCCCTTTGTAATGATATATAACACTAGATATTTTTCAATCAAAATTGCGCTTTTTAATATTTGAAAATTTTGTAATTTCTTCTATAGTAACTGTGCGTAATTTTCTTCAAATCGAAGTGGGGCCTCAGGTTGTAATCCAATTTGCGTAAATTTGATATCTATGGTATCTACTATCGATTGCTAAATGATATTTGAGAACCGATTTTTGAATTTTGATTTTGCTTTTTATTTATTTCCGGTTCAAAAATATGAATACTTTGAAGGGTCGTATATCGTGACCTTGACATTTGGTGATCATGTGACCAGAACAATTTTGATAGCTCTCGACGAGATCTTTCCAATGGTATATTAACGTTTATTGTACGGTGTTTACTTCCGATTTTATCGCCATTTGAAATTGGTGAATTTTATCTTGAAAAAGTCGGTTTTCCTGTTGTTGAATGCAATGTGAGTTGAAGCCATCTGTCGAATATGCTTTGCGTTTGGGCGATCTATATCCAGTTAATTATGATAGGAAATTATGTTACTGTTACGATACTTTGCGGCACAGTTTTAAGCGTGAAATCAAAACTGTTACGCACTGCTTCAGAACAGTAGTACTATAGCTTTCAATTAGGTCGCATAAGGGGATTCCCCATTCCATTTCATTTCATGGGGAAAATGCGACCTAATTGAAAGCTCCCATAAAGACCTAAACATCCTACATTTCATAAATTCTTACACTAAAAAAGACCTAAACATCCTACATTTCATAAATTCTTACAGCAAAAGACCTAAATTCCCTACATTTCATAAATTCTTACACCTAAATTCCCCACATTTCATATAATTCCCTACATTTCATACACCAAAAAAAAACACCTTCAATCAATTTCCTACATTCCACCAAAAAAGCATATTAAAATTTTCTACTCAAATTTTAAACCTGAAAAAAAATGGCAAATAAAATACTAGATCCAATCTTTAGATTATACGATCCAATTCGTTATTCATTTAACAAGAAAAAAGAAGATTATATTATCATCTCACCCACTGTTGGTTCTAAATCCCAATTGAATGATGGTGGTAGAATTACCTTCGAAATAAATTCATTATCGAATTGGTTGCTTGTTTCCGATGCTTATTTCAGATGCGATTTCAAAATTAAAGACGCCACTCAGAATCAAGTTCCACAAACTAATACAACGTTAGAAAACAATTTCTTTCCATCTTTATTTAGTGAGATGGTTTTGGAAGCTGGTTCAAATTCGATAGAAACAATCAAACATCCTGGGGAATTCGACACAATGTTGAAAACAGTTTTATATCTAAAGATTTCGATTCAGTTTCAGGCTGGATACCCGATGTTGGCGATGGAAGTGTTTTAAAGGAACCGGTAAGATATCTTGCAAATGATGCCGATTTAGCTAGAGTGAGAGTTGTTGCTCGAAACACAATAGAAAGAGTAGGACGAGCAATTAATCATGGATTCGAAAAACGAGTACTTCAGTATAATAATGTTGTTGAGAATAATAGGTGGGGTAATTACGTAAATTGGAAATTATATCCTTTATTCGGTCTGTTGGAACATAGAAAAGTTTCCATAGGCTTACCATATAAAATTCATCTACAAAGAGAAATAAACGACGATAAGATATTCTTTGGAGAGAATGGTTCAGATGCAAAATTAGAAATAACGAATCTCCAACTTTTCATACCCGTAATAACACGTTCAATTGAAGTAGAAACGAAAATATTCAACTCGTTAACTAAAGATATTGAAATAGCTTTTCTTCATCGTAACACTGTAGGTAGCATGACTTTAACTGGAGAATTCACCACATGGCCAATCACTAACACTATCTAACCAGCAAGATATTTAATAGTTGGTTTCAAGAACTTACCAGATTCTCAAACGATTAACAATAATGTCTTTAGAGTGGCAATGAACCAAACTCAAGATCTTTTAATCCATAAAGTTCAAGTAAGATTAAATAACGATAATTATCCTAACCAACCTTTAACAATTAATCCATCCACGAATTATTATAATGAATTGTATAGAAACTATAAAAATATGTGTGAAATATTTAGAAATCCACCTCAGTTTGAATATGTAGATTTTGCACTTAATCATCCAATCTTCTGTTTTGATCTTTCAGCTCACCAAGAAGATCTTTTCAAAACAGGAGTGAACATAAATATTCATATTGAAAAAACACAAGGAGATGTAACAGGTTATTGTTTATTATTGGAAGAAGCAAAACATTTAATTAAAATAGCAGATAGAAGAATGATAAGAATTGAGTAAAAAATACACCCTTAAAAATGAAAGCAGAAACTTTAGTTATGAAAATAATAGAAGCTATTGAAACAGCTTCACCAACTGTAATAACTTTCAACGGTAAAAAAATCACCATAACTAAAAAACTTATTGATAAATACAAATATTGTAATGTCAGAGACGATATAGACTTAGAAAGAATTGACGCGAACGCAAAAGAAGGTGGATTTTTACCTTTCCTTCTACCTTTAATATTTGGTGGTATTGCAGCGGCTACTGGAATAACAAAAGCCGTCAACTCAAATAAAGCAGCTGCAGTAACAGCAGCCGAAGATCATAGACACAATTTAGCAATGGAAAAGTTGGCCAAAGGTTCAGGAGTGGGAGAAATGATAGGCACAATGAAAGAATTTGGAAAAAGATTTAGTGAAGAAACCAAGAAAACTGTTAAACAAGGATTAAATAAATTAGTAGATAGTATTGACACAGGAGAAATCAAAGTCAAACATAAGAGTAATGGAATATTTTCAAAAAATATACACACTGGAGAAGGAATATATCTTTCGAAGTATAAAGATAAAGGAGAAGGAGTTATTTTTGGAACAAATTAAAATAATAAAAAAAGGGTAAAAAATTTAATCATTCACAAATATTTCCTAATAACCCAATGCTCATGTGTATATGCGGTAGTTCCGGTTCTGGGAAAACTCATCTCACTTTTAACATGTTGACAACACCAAACCTTTTAGATTTCGATTCTCTCTATATCTACACAACAACACCAGAGCAATCGTATTATCAATTTCTCAAAGCTTTAGAATATCTACCAAAGAGAGATGTTCAAGACCTATTTCAATATTACAAAGAAAACGAAGAAAAAGTGGAATTGAAAGATTTCATAGATAACTACATCGAAGGAAAGAAACCAACGGATATAAAAGTTTTTCTTACGAAAAATGTTCATGATCTAGATTTGTCTCAAATTGATAGCGAGCGAAAGAACTTACTAGTGTTTGACGACTGCGTGGCGCAAAGA